CTTCAAGAGTCAGGACTTCACCGACCTGTGCCTGGCCTTCGACATCAAGCAGCGCTTCTCGCCACCGCACTCGCAGGCCAAGAACGGATCCGCAGAGCGCACTTTCCGCACCCTCTTCGAGACGGCGCGTACGATGCTGTTTGCTGCGGACCTGGACAAGCCGTTCTGGGGCTTCGCCGTGCAGCACGCCACGCTGCTGCACAACATCGCGCCACGCAGGAGCCTCAAGGACAAGTCACCGTTCGAGGCCCTGACTGGGCACGCCTTCGACGTCAGCCTGTTGCGCGTCTTCGGCTCGCCGGCCTACGTGCATGTGGAGAAGAGCAGCACGCGGCACAAGCTTGACCCACGCTCACGCGTCGGCGTCTACGTTGGTTTCGCCGAGGAGGACCAGGCCCACGTCGTCTGGATGCCGGACACGCGACGCGTTGTCCACACCATCCACGCTCGCTTCGGCGCCATCAAGAACAAGGACGTCGCCTCCTCTCAGCAGCAGCAAGAGCAGGACAACAGCGGAGCCTCTGCTTCGCATGCCAACAAGATCGCTCAGCGTTCAACCGAGGACAGTGCCACCGGCGCTCCCACTGCACCACGTGCGGGGGAGCCGCAGCTCCAGCCACGCGCCCTTGGCGGCTCCGTCTGGGACCAGCTGCTGGTGTCCGAGACCCTCGGCGACAAGGACACCTCTGGTGGCTCAACCACCACGTGTCACGTTGCCACCAGCGCTGCTGGTACGGGGGAGAAGACATCAGCAGTGGGTGGTCATCTACCAGACATCGCTGCTGGCAGTGTTGCCACATCAACTGAGCCAGCCACCGTCAAGGAGGCGCTTGCCTCGCCAGACTCTGAGGAGTGGCGCCAAGCCATCCTGGACGAGTTTGCGGCAATGCAGGCCAATGACGTCTACGACGTCGTGCCTCGCGCTGACCTTCCCAAGGGCCACAAGCTGCTCCGCAGCATGGTCATCTTTCGGAAGAAGCGTGACGACCAGGGCAAGGTGATCAAGTACAAGGCGCGCTGGGTTGCCAAAGGCTACTCCCAGGTCCACGGTGTCAACTACACGGACACCTTTGCCCCGACGGCTACCATCTCAGCCATCCGCACCACGCTCGCCATGGCCGTCGCGCGTGGCATGGACATCCAACAGATGGACGTCAACACGGCCTTCCTCAACGCGCCCGTTGATCACGAGATCTACGTCCAGCCACCGGCCGTCGACGGCATCTTCTCGCCGAATACGGTGCTGCGCCTCAAGCGCGGGCTGTATGGGCTGAAGCAGAGCCCGCGCCTGTGGAACCACACGCTGGACGCCTGGATGCGCGAGCAGGACTTCGTCGCCACAGCCACGGACGCCTGCATCTACCGCCGCACCTGCAAGGGTGGCAAAGTGATGTGGGTTGCCGTCTACGTGGACGACCTGCTCATCTTCGCCGACAGCGACAGCGACATGGCCGCGTTCAAGAAGGCCATCTCTGTAGAAACACGACAGGTGGTGTGTGTGTTTACTGTAGGCAAACGCAACAAACAAGAACACAAGGAGAATGCACAAGTACAACAAGCTTCTGCCTAATCAACTCGGGCAGCACGCTCAAACAAACACTAGACAAGTGCACACACAGCCAACAGAGCTGCCAAGGCGACATGGGCAGAGTGTGCACGAACGACAAGGA